CATCTACTTCCGACCCATGGGACCTTATTTCGGAAAAAATATGTAATGAAGTCGATGGAGAGAGAAAACGTATCTTTCGATCCCGTTTGAATTGTGCCATGAATTACACATATGATGTTTGTCTATCTTAAAAAAGAATTTACATGTCAAAAAAGTCACAGTTTGTCGTAAAACTGTTGAAATATAAGACTATGAAAAATATGCAACTAGAAAGACTACAAATCCCAGAGTCACGTAAATCATGTCATAACTGATTTCAAAATGGTTTTCCTCCACTAAATAAGAGATAGCTAAGATAAGATAACAACATGCCTGTGTGCTTAGTACCAGGTTGTTATCATACCAGCAATGGGTCTTGCTCGTTCTTTCGCTTCCCGTCTGATGAAAGGACCAGGAGTGGCTGGATCAAGTTAGCTACCTAGCTAGTAGCGAGCACGTTAGTTAGCATTACAGCCTTAGCCTTGTCATTTTTATTAGCCTTAACATGAAGTAACATTAAGTAACCCAAAATGTTAAACAGTAAGAGTAGTAGTCATATTTCGTGAACCCTTTGAAGAGTAGTCTACTGTCACACCGGTGTGATCATTCTATAATACACCATTTAAGCCCGGGAATTTTATGCTAACGCTACATTAGCATCGGCGAACTTTTCTACTTCATGCTATCTACACAAATGGTTGACATTAAACATTAAAAATATCAGGCAGTTCAGAGAGAATCAAAGGAAGGCAGGCAGGCAGGCTGCTTTGCATGACATTCTTCTGGACGTGTTTCATTGTGGTGATAGTGAGGGTAGTCAATCCCTTTTTTTGGCAAGACAGTAGTGACGGCCATCTTGGTGACGTTTCACACAAAAAGATGTGTTACTTCACTGTTTTACGACACATTTTTTTTTTGACTTGCAAAATTATCTTATCTTGTATATTCAATGTTCAATGCTGCTAACCCACTCAAAGTAAAACATAAAATAAGATAAAGACTGTTGAATGTTTAATCTTGGTGAAGCACATCCTGTATCGATTTAAAAAAAAAATCTAAGTTAACCTGGTTATTAAACATTTTACTGTAAAAGAATCACAGACATTTTAGATCATAAAGGCAACGCCTGCTGTGTTTAGGATTTGTTGACCGTGCTGTACAATGCAGCTGGATCCTCTCCAGAGTCCTGACCTCTGGTCCTGAGAGATCAATGATGAGTTTTTTAGTGGTAATAATAATGCGAAGGGAATTAAATGATATGTGAATAATGTTCCTGTGTGAGGATCTGCTCACCTCGGGGCAGCACTGCTGAACTTGACGGCAGCGTACTCCGGGACTTCCTGTTGCTCCGTGTGTCTGAGAGGCTGAGCTGCTCTCATGTTGGAGTAAAGAGGGTCTGCCCGGTTGTTGGAGAAGTGAACGCTGGCATACTGAAGGTCCTCCTGCTGCTCCGGCTGATCAGGTACACACTGCAGGGAGGAAAACACTTTCAGATACACATTTTCACATTAATAGGTATTTCATTTACAGAGGAATGGACCCAGGACAGAAAAGGCCAAAGCAACAGCAGCTGTGGTAATGATAAGAAAATATCCCTGCTTCATCAACATGATGCTGAATGAGAGAAAAGATTAACCTGTTAAGCCCGGGAGACCCCGGTACCGGGCACTGCCACAACATCTTGCAGGAAACCGTGTCTGAGGGCATGTTAATTTAATAAACTATGAATGTTTTATATCCATGTAACGGGAAGAAACTCATCTA